CAAGGGCAATGTCTATTCCATCCCCGCGTCTCGCAATGACCAAGAAGGTGGCCTTAAGGAAGAACAGCAGAAGTCTTCGTGGTCTATCTGGGGATCTGGCGGTTCGCGAGAGAACATTCACTTTCGCAACTTGACACCACCCAGCCTTGCATATGGCGAAACTGTGAAGGATATAAGCACTGGGCAGGAGCACTGTTTGATGCTCACTTCCAGTGGTCGTGTATTTTCGGCTGCAGCCAGCGCTCTTGAGTTTCCCTCCAAGGGACAGATGGGTGTTGCTGGCTTGAGCTGGCACAACAGACCCAAGGGCCCTTACGATCAGCCTCACGAAGTCACCACCTTGCGGGGGTTCGAGGTGACACAGATTGCTGCTGGCGATTACCACTCTGCAGTTCTCGACAAGACCGGACGCATCTTTGGATTCGGTGATAACTCATACGGACAACTCGGAATCGATACGGACTATGGTCTTTCGATTTCGGATACTCCAGTCATGGTTCCTACTAGCTTATCGTACGCCAATACTGGACTCATTCCCACCGTAACATCCATAGCAGCAGGTGGAAACAACACTTTCTTTACCGTAGACGCAAAGACTTCCACCATTCCTGGCAGCAAAAAGGCTCTGGCCCCGGCGAGAAGGCTCCCGCCTATAACCACCGACTTGTGGGCTTGCGGCCAAGGAGTCTACGGAACATTGGGCACCGGCCGTTGGTCACATGTGTCCCCCAAGCCAACTAAGGTGAAGGGCCTGTCGTCTCTCTTCGAATTTGACGAAAATACCAACACGATGTGCCCTATCAAGCTCAAGTCTCTTTCAGTCGGCGCTACGCATTGTTCAGCTATTATGGATAACGTGACAGAGCTCTCGGTGTCTAGCAAGGGAACGGAGAATGAAACCAACTGGGGTGCTGATGTCGTATTCTGGGGTGGCAACGAGCACTTCCAGCTTGGCACTGGAAGACGAACGAATTTGAACGCGCCTGCATATATCGCAGCTCTGGATAGTCCAGCAGATGCTCGCAAGGAAGGTACAGAGGGTTTCCATCGACTGTGTGTCACTCCTCGCAAGACAGTCCGCCTGGACGGTGGAAAGGGGCGAAAGATATCGTTGGAGCAAAAGGTTGAATGTGGCAAGTATGTGACTGGCGTTTACTCTGCTGTTTAAGATGACAAGCCACAGGGCCCAATTTGTAAGAACACTACTACTGTATTATCAGAAATATATAATCGTGTATCATATCTAAGAGGACAGAATGCGACGTTGGGATGAAATCGTTATGTCAGAATTCAACCCTTTATGCTTGGAGATGCACATGGTGGCTCAGTCTCCATTAGGCTACCTGTATTCTGTAGTAGGTACATTAAATCGTCCGATCTCCCTGTCAGATTTCTACAGGGGGCCATGGAACCTACGCCAGATGGAACTTGGACCAATACGAGACGGGCTCACTTTAGTCTCGTCCTCGACCACGCAAGCAGGTCACATCGCGAATGGAAGGAATGGATCAATAACACGTTAATAACTTAGTAGGTACCGTTCCCCGTGTAGTGGGCTCTCTGGATGATAGGTTGGTAAGTAGTAGTTATACGATTAAAGGAGGTGGAGGATCAGGCCAGAATCCATTCTCCACAGGCAAACCCAAAATAGAAATAGTAGGATATGTAATACAGAAAGGCAGTGATACCAGTAGCCGCCGCGCAGCCAAATTATCCCTGGTGTGTACAGGGGGAAAAAGAAATTTACTAAAACCAGGTACCGTGGAACTATCGATTCTAGATTGACCTCGAGGATAAATTGAGTGCATGATCAGCAATGTTCAGAACCACGGGATCGGGAATTAATGTAACGAGGATGTCGCACGTGTCGTAATCAAAAGAAGAAAGGAAAAGAACAGGGTCGAGATCTGTCAAATATCACCAGACAAGAGACTTGCTTTGCAGATCATCCCTTATAATGAGGCCCTAAGGGGATACTTACAGCAGGTAATACTCTGTACTAATCTATACTGCCTAGAATTCTGGAACAAGGGAGGCACTAACATTAGACACATTAGACACTTCCATTCTTTCCTGCTGTCCCCACGTTCTTGTGTCCCAATCCTTTGTCCGTTGTGACGTCTTGAGACTCAACAGTGCCCATTAACTTGGTCACGTCGTCACGTCACGTCACTTGTTCCTGGCCCAACTTTAACTCGATTGTATGTACTTCAGATATCTGAATTTTCATCTTGTTACTATCATAACTCTTATTTCCTCCACTTATACACTCTCCTTTTATTATCTTTCCCCAACATTCGCTCGACTCCTCTTAGTTCGGCCTCCCACCCAATACTTCCGATTGCGGTATCTTATCACTCCTACCACTCTTTCGACATTACTCCTTCACATAGTCTTGTTGAACCTATTTCTCTTCTCCTCTGTCGCCCCCAGTTCAATAAAGGACTCTCTTTTCTATCTGAACCTCTCTCGCCATTTTCCACGTTACGACTCCGCCACCGTTAAGCCGTTTCGTCGTTTTTTTTTTCGCCTCCTCGTAACTCCAGTACTTACTGCGCTGTGCATACGCCCCATCGCCCACGCGGATCCGACCCTTGCCCTGTCCGGCCTCCACCAGCCAGGGCGACCCAACGACACTATTCCTCTTCTTGTGCCCAAATCTCCGTCACTTCTACGTCTTATACTTGGGCATCCGCCGCTGGCCAAACCTTTGGTGAAAACTGCGACGAGCCCCAACTTTCGGCGCAGCTTTTGCTTCTCCTTGGGGACCTCTCGCCAGTCTTTGCACCGTCCAAACGCCATGGACAGGATCCCCAAGTTCAGGCGCAAACCCAAGAACCCTACAATCGAAACCTCCATCGAACGCTCCAGCAGTGACACTGCCGATAGTATCGCCAGCTCCGAACTGCAGGCTGCAAACCTTCAGTCACAACAACAGCAGGGACAGCAAGTCCAACCACCGAAAACAAAACTCTCCAAGAGGGCAGCTTTCAAGAATTTTCGTTTTCGCGGCTCTACCAAAAGAGCCCGCGACAGTTCACCCGCCGAGTTGCCTTCCAGTCCTCTTCCGCCGGCCGTCGTGAGCCACGACGGCACCAAGAGCCGGCCCGTCACGGCTGAAAACGATGCGCTAGGCAATTATGACGGGGTAAAGCCACGGATCCCTGCCTTTCTGGAATCTTCATTGCAGAGTATGCCATCAAAAAACGACTGGCGTATTAATCAAACACTGACGTTCTATAGATATCGATATCAAGTTCCAGGACCTGACGTGGGCCGAGCGTGAACGGGTCCAAGAAGGTACAAAAAACGACGGAGACCAGGATTTCAAATGGGGCACTTTCAAACAAGTTGATGCCCAGGAAAAGGGTGTAATGGATCGCTACATCAACATCAAGCCATGGAACCACAACCGAGTCAAGCTTCAGGTTCCTGAGGAGGAGCTTGACTATGTCAACGCTTCTGAGATAACCGTTCCTTCACCCTCGGATCCAAACAGGGAACCATTACGATACATCGCTATGCAAGGACCAACTCTGCCGTCGATCGACTACGTTTGGCGCATGATCGCCGAACAAATGTCCTCGCCTGCTGTCATTGTGCAGCTGACAACCATGGCAGAAGGCGGAGTTGTCAAATGCCACCAGTACTTTCCTGATGATCAGGAAAACTCGACCTGGGCCCTGAACGAACACGATGCGTGGAACGATGAATGGCAGGCCCAGTTGACGTACGATTCATACGAAGAGATGGCTGAAGGTGCCATCGAGAAGCGCAAACTACTTATGCATGTTGATGGTGAAGACGAACCACGTGTTATCTGGCATCTTCTTTATCGGCGATGGCCCGATTTCGGGGTACCTGAACTCGAGGATCTTGACGGTTTCTTTGATCTCATGCAGTTGTCTCGCGAACTGAGCGCACCCTCTAATCCGCGAATAATTCACTGCAGTGCTGGTGTTGGTCGGACTGGCACTTTCATCACCCTCGAGCACCTCATACGGGAGCTTGAGTTGGGAACTTTTGAGAACTACGACCAGCCAAGTGAGGGCCCCGACCTGATTTACCATACTGTCGACCTTCTCCGAGAACAACGCGTGGGTATGGTTCAGGGCCGGCCTCAGTTCCTGTTCATCTACCAGGTCATGCGAAAACTGTGGCAAGACAAATATGGCGTCGATGAGGACGGTAACGAGCCCGCAGCTAAGAGGCTCGAGGTAGGCGACCCGTTCATCGACGACTCAGTGCCAGGTTCGACGTAGGCCGTTCGAAGCATTGGCATTGTAAATTGAGATAGGTAGTGATAAGGGTTCTACAACTTTCGTCGCACTATCAACAATAGTTGCGCAAGGGGATGCATGCATACAGGCAAGTTAGAACGAAGCATGAGACACGTGGTAATGTTAAGGTCAAAGCCGGGATTTATGTTGTCTTGGGTGGGAAAGTTGAAGGTGTCAATGTTCCATGATTTGATTTTGGAGGCACAATTTACTTGTGTTTTATATGGTATGGCTAGAAAGTGTATGATCAAGCATGGGAGCGCGTTTTGGGGTGATGATATGATATCCATACATAGAGCTCGCATCTCGTAACAGAGAGATGACGACAACAAAGGAGCATTCAAGTCGGGAATGACTTGCAGAAGGTTTTATTTAGTATACATGATACCACAAGCACAGATAGGGGTTGGTTGTGTCTATCACGTTCGAATATGCAACGATCGAAACGAATAAGTGTAATGAGGAAATACCATGTAGGTAAGTATGCATAAACTCTCAGTGTGAGAAACAGTTTTTGTATTATGGTTTTAAAAGGCTTTTTACCCTTTCTATCCTATCGCGAGATTATTGACAGCAGTCTTGTCTTTGTTCAGTCTGTTTCCGGCCGCGTATCAACATGTATATCTCAACTTCATTACCACAATACGCTCGCTACATTTAGTTCACTAATAAGTTCAAAATAACAAAAAAACGCAATCTCTACAAACAAATAATCAAAACTTAGGCGCTGATCACCAGCGTAACAGTCTCTTTCTCCTTCTCCGTGACGGTGACAGTAGCCTGGTCCTTGTCTGTAACTGTCACGGTGAAGTAGACAGAAACGGTAGGTGTGCCATCGACGACAATAGTTGTGGCATGTGCATCGTCACCAGTACGAGTAACAGCCGTGGGCTTCTTGTCATCTTGGCTGTCTGCATTGGCTTCTGTGGCTGCGGGGGCAGGAGCCTTTGTGGGCTTGTCGGGGATGGGGATGAGCTCTACGGATGTAGGCTTGTCATCATCATTGCCATCTTTGTCCTTGTTGTCATCACCATTATCTTCACCATCGCCATCACCTGGTGAGGCAGTGGGCTTAGCTTCATCAGGCTTCTCGATTGACTTGGTCAAGGTTGTGCCGCCAGGGAGATCCATCGAGTTCGTACTTGGCTCAGGAACAGGAGGATTTGTGGGTGGGAGGTCCTCATAAGCCTTTGTGGGCTGAGGGTTGGAAGGCTCTTGGGGATCTGTCTGGGCAGGCTTCTCCTCATTTGGTTGAGAGGGTTGTTCTTGGACGGGCTGGGTTTGAGCTGGCTGAGATGGTTGCTCTGGTTCGGGCTGAGAGGGTGGCGATGGAGAGGTAGGCTGGGCAGGCTGTTCAGTAACAGGTTGACTCGGGTGCTCAGGGGCAGGTTGAGTTGGTTCTTCAGGAGCAGACTGGGTAGGCTTCTCAGGCACAGGTACAGGCTGTGTGGGTTGCTGATAATCAGGCTGCGAAGGTTGCTCATTGACAGGCTGGGTAGGCTGAGCTGGCTGCTCCTGGTTAGGCTCGCTGGTGGGCTTAGGAACGGCACCGTCATCGACAGTAACGATGGTGGTGACTGTAACCACAGGAACTCCGGGTTGCTTCTTAACTGTGGAAGTAGGTACTGGCTGCTGGTCTTGGTTTTCATTACCAGGGGCAGTGTTCTCCTCGCCACCCCCAGGAGTTCCTCCGAGAATCTTGGCCGCAGTGGCAGGGTCTTCGCAGACTATCTTGATACCTTCCTCGACATTGTACAACGGGAGAGCAAAGCACCTCTCGCCTTCGGTCTCACAAGGAAGAAGCTGGAAAGCACCGTCATCGCCGCATAGAGCCATCTGTCCACTAATGCAAGCAGCCTGGCCCTTCATACATGCAGATTCGGGTGTGAGCTTTGCGAATTCTTCGTTGTACGTTCGCGCATCAACGACATTGCTAGCGTAAGCAGGCGCGGAAATAGCACTTGTACCTGTAGGAACTTCAGTGTTTATGGTTGGCACCCCGTCGGCAGGTGATCCTGTAGGGATAACCTTGGCTACAGATGTGGTCTCGGGAGAAGAAGGATTTGAGACGACGGCAGGCGTGGTTGAGGGTCCAGCGGGCGCTGCAGGTAGAGTGTTGGAGTCAGGGGCTGGGTACCGAGGCTTGGCATTTGAGGGAGCAGGAGCTGGCTGTTGAACTGCTGAAGTATCTGCTGGTACTTCCGGCTGCTGAACTGCAGATGTAGCAGGGCCATTGGGCTGGGTAGGCTCTGGAGTTGGCACAGGATTCTGAGGCTCAATAGGCGCTGAAGTCTCAATAGGAGAAGGCTCGGCAGGCGCATCGGGCTTTTGACCATCGGTAGTTTCAATAGGAGGGTATGTTTGCTTGACCTCAGATGTAGGAGCAGGGCTGCTAGGCTTAACAGGTTCAGAAATTGGAATCTCGCTCTCAGGTTGGGCTGCCTCCGTAGTTGGTGCAGGCTGATCTTGAACGTCAGACGTAGTCTCAAGCTGTGGATCCTTGGGCTTGACTACAGAAATCGTCTCAGTTGTAGCAACAGGCTTTTTCTCCACAGCTGAGGTTTCTGGGACATCCCCTGCTGGTGCGGTAGGAGGATTGGGATAGATGTTGGACGGATGCTTAGGGTTGATGGGAAATGCTGTGTCACCAGGAGCCTGAGTTGTGAGGTACCCTGTAGGAGTTGGCTCATATGCAAAAGTAGTTGTCACATCCTCAACGGGTGTGGTTATAGGTTGCTCATCTGTGGAGGCAATTGCAGGAGAAGAAGGTGCTTCAGGAGCTACGGTCTCTTGGATGGCACTTGGCTTGGTGTTTTCTCCTTCTGACGGTTGCAGTGTACCAAGATCAACTGTAGAATCCAGACTCTTTGTCTCAGAGTTCTCTGGCTGCTGGGCGAGTTGGGTGGTAGGCACTTCAGGAGCAGCAGTAGTGGCATCCCTTGCCGGCTCGTAGGTCGGGACCTCGTTCACAGAGGTTGGGGTTTCCTTGGACGGTGGAGTAGTCTCCGTCACTACCGCACTCTCCTCGGGAGATTGATACAGAGGCTGATCGGCCACCGAAGTTGACTTCGCAACCTCAGTAGCAGGATCCTTGGGAACAATAGAGGTCGTGATAACCGGCGCAGAAGTGTTCTGTGTGAATGTTGGTTTGTTCACGGGCTCTTCTTGAGTGGGTTCCTGAGCTTCACTTGTCGGTTGGGGAGCCTCGTTGGTAGGTTGGACGGGGATAACCTCGATAGGCTCGGGTAGATCAGAGTACGGTCCCTTTTTCTTCTCGTTTCCTGGGTTCTCCGAAAATAATGGGTTAGGGTCCGGAGTCGAGTTCAGTGTCTCGAATATAGGTCGTGGCGTAGTCTGGTCTCCATTCTCGGATCTAGCATATATTGTTAGAAATGGTTCGTCATCTCTTGTCTTCACGCCCGGCTCGTACCCGTATCCATCATGAGCTGCAGTAGGGGCTTGTGAGTTCTCCATTCTAACGTCAAGGAAAACTCCGGGGTTTCTCTTTTCTCTGCCAGTCCACATAGGGCCAGCCTGTGCGGACTGGACGGTCAAAAGGAGTGACATGGCCACAGCGAGCCTCATTCTATTGTACCGCATAGTGAAGGATAATTCGATATAGACGTAGGAAAAGTAAAGAGTGCTTCGTTCGTAAAATTCGAAAAGATAAGTCGTGTCGTGTAATTCGTTTGTCGATCGTATAAGTTCCAATGATTGTAACACGAAAAGAAAAGCAAATTTGTCGAAATACTTCCTCCAAGATCCAAACAGATTAAGAGTAAGTAAAGCCAAACAATAAAGTCCACCTCGAATACCCCGTGAACAAAGAATTTACTTGTTCAATACCCTGAGACCGAGATAGACAAATTGAGTACAAGGAGAACCCGGCCTTGTTAACAGAATGAATAAAGGGAACGACAAACAATGGAGGCGAACAAGGCTATGAATGAAGGGAGATAGTATGAAAGAGAGTCACACGGAAAAGATAGAGATAGGAAATGAATTTGACAAAAGGAAAAGAGAAAAAGTTTAGAGTCAGAGAGTGAGTGTATGTGTTGAAGTAGAGTGAAACCATTCAAGTTGGGCAGGTAGAACCAGTGTGTTAATGTATGCAGTGTCTCCTTCCCCCAAGACTTCAGGAACAAGCCATATCCAATTAGCGCCAGCAAAAGACAACAAATCGCCTCACGTAGAGTCTCATCTCGTATCGAATCTGATCGATTTTCACGGTAGCAAACTACCCAAATTCCTTGAACCATGCCATGCATGCAATGCCATGATCCCCAGTCAAAGTCAAAATCCGAGTATCACGACGCGCCCAACCCTGGCCAAGTCAGAACCCCCAAGCAACTCACCTAAATAGAACTGGACCCAAGCAAAACATTTCCCATAAATAAGAAAGAAAAATATTTGTCCGACCTTGTCAGCCAATCACTCTGGTCTCGTCGTTGTTGAGTTGTACGGTAAAAGACTGGCTCTAAGCGCTCTGTTTCAACAGTCTATGCGCGGCTTGTTCCCATTGGTTCACCAACTCCACTACGGCCCGGCCTTACTGGGTTCAGCTGCCAATCGTGCTCTCTCCACTGAACCGACCTGCGGCCTGTAGTACAACATTTTAGTGCTTTACAGGGGGTTCGTGATGCCCTCATTTCTGGCCTTGCTTTGCCTTGGCTTGACAACGGGAGATTGACAAGGTCATGATCATGGTCGAGATCATGCCGTATTTGGATCTAGTCGGCCCATCGACGGTCTCTGAGTTCTAGACCAGATCAGCCCTTTTAATTTCCCCTTTGACTCTTATTCCTTGACTGGCTAGTTAAGAATAGACTCCCTCCAAAACCGTCGTCTTGGATCTCAACATCATTTGACGATAGCCGCCCGTCATTAGTAACTCAGTTACCTTGACCGCATCCATAGACCGTGGCTTAGATCTTAGCCCCAAACTACCTACAAAAGAGATAGATCCCTTTTCTTTGATTTGCATTACTCTTTGTTCTACTATTGTTTCAACTACCAAACGCCTTATTTGTGTAGTACAAATATCTGCACAAGGGTATACAGTGTACACTAAGCGCCACCGCGTCTAAATGCTGCCAGTCATGCTTTTTCTATGCTCAAAATACATCAGAACCTTGAACAATAATCCATGAGTTAGACCCCTGCGTCCAATCCGCTACGTCTCCCGGTCGCTGACTGCTTTGTCTTCCCTTTCTTCTGTCTCTTCCCATTCCATCATTTCAACCTCCTCATTTGCCTCTTCGTCTTCCTCGTCCTCTTCCTCGTCCTCTTCCTCGTCCTCTTCCTCGTCCTCTTCCTCGTCCTCTTCCATCAATTCGTCATAGTCCGTCGCAAATACTTTTCTTCTCAAATCATTAACGGCATCAAGCTGTTCTCTCAAATTCTTTTGTTGCGTCCTTGTCCAATCCAGGTTGAGATCATGAACATCAGTGATCCTATTATTCCTGTGATAGAGAAATCGATCGCGGGCCCAAATCACAACGTCCCTCAACTCCTTGACACCGTTTCCGTGGCTTTCGATGTACTTTTCCACCACCGAGTCATCCGGCCACTCCCAGACTCCATTCTCTGTTACACCATGCATGACTTGCTCGACCTTTCGGGGTCTGACCAAGGGTTCCGCGAACGCTCGGAACGCACACAGTGTCTCAATCATGTCCAATTCCTGCGGCAGCTCTCCCATGTTTTGTATCTCTTCTTGTAGAGCTGGCGAGCTCCATTCCTGAATCAGCCATTTCATCAAATCCGATATCGCCCTGATTTGTCCTGCAAATGCCAGTGCCAGCATCAAATTGTGAGCGACAGATGGCATTACCGGATCTCTCCGCGCTCGCATCATGTCCACATTTGACACGTGTAGACTATCTTCTGGGCGTGATCTTTGTCTCTCTTTTACAACCACCGAATAGAACAGACCCCTCATCCGTTCGCCGATGATTTGAAACATTGACAATGCTGTCGGTTCTTGTGCGTTTCTAGCGTACTTGTTGTTCTTGCCAGCCTCTGTTGCCTGTATCTCGTAATGATGCGCGAATGAGTTCTTGTCCGCGTTGCCCATCGGTAAAGTCGCTGCCAGCGTCTCCACCTCCCGTCGCAAGATCTTGCGTAAGGTTTTGCCAAGTTGGTCAACAATGGCTAGGTTCATGGACTTTTCAGCATCGATATGATCCATGACATATAGCAACAGGCGGAGCTGTGCCTCGAGAGTGAGTCGTAAGCGGCCATGGTGCTGCCCAAGGTGTTTTAAGATAGGCGCCCATACAAAGGATGACCAATTGGCATTCTTACCGCTGAGTCGACGCTCGGCGAGCCGGACGGCACGTAGCAGATTTCTGCCACCAAGATTTGGGATCTTGGACAGGCATTCCATATATGCTGAAAACAGCGGTAAGGGAGTTCTCTTCAGCGATTTGGTTGAAGGGAAGGCCGTTGTCAATTCAGCATAGTTCTTTCGACCAGTGCTGCCATCCTCTAAATACCGATGAGCCTCCGCAACGTTCTCAGCATTAGATACCAATATGCGCAGGCACTGTTCGTCCGGCCGAATACGTTCTTCTCTCATCATGCCATAGAGTTCTCCTGGTGTCGGAGGCTGTAACCGCAGCTTTTCCAACTCGGTTAAGTTTGTTTCTTCGTCCATCGGATGATTAAGATGATTGTCTCCGGGCAACGTGCCTCGTTGAGGATCGGCTTCTCTGGCGTATAGCCTTTGAAACATAGCTGCATATTCGAGTACTCCAGGTTTCATACCAGGTTCTGGAGGGTTCCTAAACCTCTGCCATGCTTCATGAGAGTTCCGCGTCGCCCTGATAGATGCTGCCCAAGCTGACATCTTCCGATCTGAGTTGATCTGCATTCGCTGCTGGATTGTAGGGCTACCATCGGGAGCCAAGCCATACAGAATGTCGATGACATCGTCAACCTCCTGTTTGGGGAATCCTGCTTCCTGCATCATCATCCCTGCCCGAACGACACGGGACCAACTTTCCTCAACATCCATGACTTCATCAATACCATCTGTCGGTGTTAGATATGGAGGCCACGACTTTGAGTGTCGAGACGCAGCATGCATTTCATCCCTATTTTTAGGCATCCCAGCCAGAACAGCTCTTATAGCTTGAAACCCACTTCTGTCCACCGCCAAGGGTTGTGTGAGGCTATCAGACATCGCCAAAAGCACACGCTGAGCCGCCCAGATGTATGTATAGGGTATTGCCTTGTGCTCTGCCCCAGATCCCATACGAGAAGCGATGGCACTAAGCGCTGTGTTGAAGAACTTGCATTGCGTATGGTATGCTTCTGCCGGAATTTCATCAGTCGTGAACAAATCTGAGGAGCTATGGGAATTGGCTCCGAGATCTACAATAAAGTCTGCGATTATTTCAGCAAGAGCAACCAAGCGTCTCGGCTCTATGCGGCGACAGTGGAAAGCAAGTCGTTCCATATTTTCCGTAACCTCTTGTGTTGAGAACCTTTGCATTTGACTCCGCGCACGTCCCTCGATATAAGATCTCATGCTCGTAGCTCGTTTCTTTTCCGCTGTGGTCCTCAGTCTCGTCTTGAAATATTCTAACATATTGTCCAACGTTGAGACTTGGCTGATGCCCGATCCCAGCCTTAGAAGATAGCTAAAAATGAAGACAGGTTTCGCATTGGAGTCTGTCATAAATATCTGACATCGTTCTTCATCAGTCTTGGCGAAGAGTATGTCGACGTATTGGCTCAGACATTCTTGTGTATGTCCGTTATAATCCAGTATACCCATCAAGCGCTGCCATTGCTCTTCTGAGGGTAGAGCCTCGGCGATTTCCTTCATGCCTATCGGATCGGCTGCTACTTGTCGTCGAATATGTATCTGCATTAAGATGATGGGGAGTCGCATACTTCGAATAGTGGCGATGCCTTTTTGTAGACCTGGTTCCGGATCATCTGTAGCAAGATACCTGCGAAGTAAAGTGGCAGGACTTTGGTCTGCCCATCCTTTTTGCATCTTTAGTTTCCGCTCGATTCGGGTGCGTAGGTAGTTCGACGGAAATCCTAGTTGTTCTTTGCCTTTGTCATGTCGTTCGTTGCCCAAATTCCGCTTGAAGTCGGGGTTCAATGATGCTCGATAGGCTTCCATACGGCGCTGCAGTATCGCGGCTTCAATCTCATCGAATTCTTGCTCGTTGGTATTTCCACAATCCCGGTCTCGTTTTAACTGTTTTCTTAGCTCAGCCCTGAGCTCGGCCTTGGATGGTGAGCCATTGTGACTTTGGCCGCGCTCGAGTATCGCAGATTCAATGCTATCGAATGTGGAAGATAACCGACGAGAGTGGAGAGAGATTGGGTAGTCGGTGGTCTGGGAAGAAAACGTAGGTGTGAGCTTCAGGATCCTGTGATTGCCCTCAAAAACTTACCCTGGCTTGGGTCACCACATGCTGCGTCACCCGCCATCCTCGCCTCAGCTCCCGGGTTACACTTCTCAGCATCTCTCCCTCATATCTCCTAGGCTAGCTCAATGGCTTAATAGGAAGATATTCGTAAAGAAATAGGTGATGGTCGCGAAATAGTTCGCAGTGACGTGTAACTGGTTGTTGTCCACCAAGTATTTTGCATGCACCAAACGAGTTTATCGCATTATCGGGCTTAGTTTCAATTAGCGTCCAGCCAGTCCGGGGTCCATCTCTCCAGTCATGACTACCGTACTACTAACCTACCTGCTAACATAGTTACAGATAATTTGATCGCATAGCAGAACCTAATAGTTAGAAATGCGGTGCTTTCTTTGTTTTTGTACTTAAACGAAGTTACATTTACCATTATCAATCATGATTTTGAACCCCAGCTGTTTCGAGCTCCAAGGAGATTGATACACCCTCGCCCAACACATTACGGTTTTGTCAAAAGGCATTGTACTTTTCCCATTTTTGCTCCTACTTTTTAGATATTTCGTCATTTCATAGACACATAGGACAGCATGCCATAGTACATGGATTAGGGATTAGTCACCTTGTGACTTGACCTTCTTATTCTCTTCCTCCTCAACCGCCTTGTCCTTTCGCTTCTGCACCACCTCCCAGTTGTAAACTCTAGCCACGGCGACCTCCATGGTCTATGCATGGTTAGTGACAGTTCAAAATAGTGTCTGGAGCTCTGGGAACGTACTGTGATCTGCTCGCGGAGGAAATCGAGGTCCTCTTCGCAGTTTGACAAGCTTGTCTTTGCTGTTGAGAGCTTGGAACTCAATAGTGTCTCTGCCTCGTCTATGGGGTATGAGAGCATCACGTTGGCCTGAAAAGCAAAGTCAGCTCCATGCTGACAATTTAGGGAAGCGGCTGATTTACTCCTAACCAGATATAAACCTCCTCAGTCGCAGGAATCTTCGCCTTTGAGTATAGAGTGTCGTTAAGTTCGAATGTTGTTTCTATCGCCTCATCATCGTCCTATGCCTCGAATCAGTATCGCAATGCTTGCGCAGGCGCCGCATATGTGTACCTTTCTTAGCTTGAGAAACTTGACTGAGTCGAGCGTCTTTTGGATATCAGGAATCTTTTCCTTGAGGCCGCCCATTCGCTTCTGCAAGTTCATCTCCATAAATTGGTATTTCCTACCCCGCCATGCTCGGTCAGCGCCAATCCTATATCTCAAGCTGCACAGAGCAAGCTTGCCAGGGCTTATGTTGTCTTCAAGGCTGGATGGTAACTCACGATATCATTTCTTGAAAGTTGCGCAGAGTAGGCTCGACATCGTCTCGGGTGGTGACATAGTCCTCGACCTTATCCACGAACGGGGCATAGGGGATGCCCCGCGGATTGGTAGGTGTAGCATCTTTACTATTTGGTGTCAGTTTCTGCTTATTTTTCTTGTACTGGGAGGTGGATAGAATGCTTCTTGAGTTTACCTTGTCGCTGTTTCCTTTCCTTTTGACGCCATCTTGTCGGTGTTGTACTCTCAAGAACAAGATGAGATACCTGCTGTCTTGAAGCTGCTAGGCGTGGTCGGGTTTTGCGACTGGGTGGCATTTCGTCAGTGGGGTCTCGCATCCCTCCTCACCTAGCTTCGGTGAGCGGTGAAGGTGGGGGGCATTCACCTTGAATTGTACAATAATAGCCGACACAATAATCAACGATTTCTTTGGAAACTGGTTACAAGATTGTATCATGAGTATGAATCCAACGAGATTCACTACAAGAGCCTACCTAGTTGTCAGATCTGATATAATAGATAGCTATTGACGGACCAAATATCTTCTGGTAAGTACCTCTCTCACAGCAACCATGCAGATGCTAAGACGACATCTACCATTTTCGGGCTTTTCGAGCGCTAACCTATAAGATCTATCTCATACAGATTTTTCTCCAGTTACGTTGTTTTACATTTGACCCCATATTATAAGTAGAGAAAAGCTACAAAATTGTCGTCAGCCATAGGTTCGTAACGAGGAACTCCCACATGTACTATCTACCCAGACAACCCCGGGTTATAATTACAATGATTCTAAGTTTTCCTACATGGCTTGTTACCTAGCCACTCTGAGATAATGACTTTATTATAGAACTTTATGGGTTTATTTTACTTGCGCAGATAAACCGTGAGTAAAATGGGAGGGGTTAAGATGAAAGCTAAAAGGAAAATACATAAATATAAAACCGAATGTTCATGCCACTATTCTTGCTATTTACTTTTACACGGACGTCCTTTATCGATCAACGACTGCTGATCGCAAATTCTTATTCTAGATCAACGCAATGCGAGTATACGAGCAACAAGAGAGGCCCTCGGCCTTCCATGAGGAGGAGGGTGTCTACTCCCGACAAGATAATAAGGAACTATTCGAGGTTGTGTTTGGTATTTCTATCTCATACGAAGGGGCCGTGGATTTCTGGAAATCAGGGTTCTCAATAATACAGCCTGGGTGGGAGGAGGTCTTTTCCCAATTCCCTGATCACTTACACTGGCTGGTAGCGGAGGTGATTGAACCCCTCATGTCTGGCTTCACCTCGAGATGTCCTGCACAATATAACTCTGCTCAACAATACACATGGAACCTGATTCTCGAAACTGCTCAAGAACTAGGTCCTCAGAAATACGTTAGACGTCCTCACCCGTACGGAGCTATCGGTGATGGTCGCCCTCGCCCAGAAACGGGCCCTACATCTTCCTCGCCTTCTCCCGCAGAAGAAACTACGTCTCCTCCTCCTCCTCCTCCTCCTCCTCCTCCTCCTCCTCCTCCTCCTCCTCCTCCTCCTCCTCCTCCTCCTCCTCCTCCTCCTCCTCCTCCTCCTCCCTCAAAGTCTTTCTTGCCTTCTTGGCTGGGAGAAGACACAAATTCTTCTCCTCCTCAAACATACCAAGAGATGGTGGCGACATTTGCTCCTGATGAGCAAAATGAGAGATATACAGCTTCTTCAGACTGTTATCAAGCAAATGGCATATATCCTGAAAGGTCATATAACTCCGGTCCAAGTAGTATCGTCTCAGATTATTGCTGTTCGACTCCGCCTTCTTCGTCAATCTTCGCCTGTAATGCCGGACCACCTTGACCCTTATCTTCCGAGAGGCAGTCGCTCGATTAGGCTTCTCCAAACACGCATTTGAGACAGCCCACGCAGGAAGATGGCAACCAAGTTCGCCAAGGTTTTGGCCCGTGCTAACAGATGCTTCTGAACGGATGAGGATAGTTGCGAACCGAAAAGTTCCATAGAAGCACCACAAAGCTGAAGAGACCAGTGGCTATCTTCTGATACAGATATGGGACCACGGGGTATTCAAGGATAGCACTGTGGCTTGCTTGATATATCATGGATACTATAATCAGAACAAGAGAAGTTTGTCGAAGTGACCCTTGAATTGATACCATTTCCAGTGTGTAATAGAATTTTGCTGTCTGCGACAGCTGATAATACCGTCACTTTCCATCAAGGTAGGGGAAATGACATGTATCAAGTTGAACATAAAATCATACAGAACCATATAGTCATAAGTCGTACTAAGGCATACCTGCAGAACCAGAACTAGGTCCCAGGATTGCCTTAATCCATTCGTTTCTTAGTGTCTGCCAAATCCCCGATATCAGCACTATCGTCCAACGCGTGGGTGTTGGCTGGAACATCGTGAGTTTCTTCCTCGTCCCAATCATCGTCGATCTGGTTCTCGTCCCAATTATCAACCTCTTCTTCCAGAGTACGAGACCGAGTCGCTCCTTCCACCACACCAGATTCGTGGCCTTCACCAAGCTCGACGTCGCCTTGATCCTCACCGGGGACGGCATTGTACCGCCTGCGTCGCTTGCGCTCAAGCATACGCTTGTGGTACCACGAGCATAGACCGACACCGAGCAAGCTTCCTACCAGGTTCGCAACGATGTCGTACAAGTCAAATTCCCGGCCATTGTCGAGAAAACTCTGAACGAATTCAGAACCAACGCCAAGGATGATTGTGCAGACTACCAGTGTCATATTCATGACTCGCCGTCTATTGGTGTCGACAATCCAGTAAAATACGACGGTGAGTATGAAAAAGGTGATGAAGTGAAGCACTTTGTCATTGACATATTGACCAAGCTGTATCGAAGTTAGGCCAGCATAGGCAGCAATGAGCAGCAAGACCAGGAAGGCGCCTGGAAAAGTAGTCAATATCACTCATGGTATGGCAATATGTGTCCATCATAGAGCTGAACGAGAACCCACTCCCGGCCCTCAATCGAGACGGGCACAACGCAATGACGTACCTGCAACTGGGAGTCGTATTCTCATGATGAAGAGCAGCTGTGGAGCAAGGACCAGGTGCGTTCTTTTAGGAATAAGAGGTATCCCAGAGGTTACAACTCCTGTTCAGTATTACTTCCGAGGTTTTCCTGAAGCTTGCTATGGCAGGACAGGTCTTGAGCTATATGTGTAAGGTGATGAGGCTGGGAGTTTTAGAGCTGAAGCGAAGCAGGCAGAGAAAATGAAACCGCGGAGCTCCAAAGTGACGACTATTGTCCTTGTGGCTTGATTCGTTTGCGAAAGTGGCGGTGCATTTGTGAACACGACAGGGGGCTACGATTCGCTTGTCATCCTATAAAACTGGAAAGAGAGTGGACAACGTGGGCACCGCTCATGCAACCCCAGGCGCAGTAGCTGGCGGACAGTTTCGCGTCCACTCTGATACTCCTCTATTTGGCGCTGGTGATCCCATGGGTCCCCCGTTCTAGACTTGCGTGATGCAGGCACAGACTCAGGCACAGGTGCCCCTCATATCCCCTAACGATCTTGTGTATCACTGGCTGGAGATTATCCCTGGGGGGTCTTCTAAAGAGATGGCGTTTGCTCTTGATTCTGATAGTGGAGTCCAGGATATGTTGTACTTATCTACAGATGCTCGGTGTTAGACGAGCCAAGCAGGGGCATAGATGGATGGCATTGAAACTTGGTGTGCAAATAGAAACAAATGCATGCATATATCTACCTACATAGTTAGGGTACTGTTTACCTGATTCGACAATTTCTTCTGTACATCAGTCTGTCTTTTTGCCAGCTACAACAAAGGCAAACGGCTTTGACCAGTGAAGGCGATCTAACTTATGTAGTACTGGCTGGCTTTTTCCGCTCCTGGTACGAAACAACCTCCATCGATGCAACTCTAAAATATTTCCAGGTACTGCTTGGAAATTGGCTTTTTTTATTATAGATACACATATATGGTTCTTCTAGTAACTCTATTAATTTCGTGGTCTTTGTTCTCCTTCTTTAACAGCCTTTGTGATGCTGCACGTGATCTGCTGACAAAGGTTACGTTACCTGGTTGCCATTAAAGTTGGGGCCTCGCTCTTGTATAAAATACATGGGCAGTAACATATTGAGCCCCGGATCTATGTCAAACACCAACCTAAAGGAGGATTGATCAGAAAAAAGACAATATTGCATTTTCCAAAGAATCAAATAACGATATCAGCTTCATCAGCCAAATTCAAGTGTGGCTTCCCTGTTCTGACCCCCTATAATTTGACCTTCTTAGGCCGAAGTAGCTGTACCCGCAACCTCTCTCCCCGCGAGATTCCCCCCACGAGTCGGCTCAGCGCGCGCCAGCAGCCAGATCACTCAGGGAAAGTCTCCGCTTCGGGAAAGGTACCTTACAAGGCACCCCCCAAATCCTCAACCTCACCTCTTGAACAGACGACAAAACTGCAGATTGCGATCCATCAAAACACAACCTTCTGCGTATCTGTTATTCGCCAATTTTTGTCTGCCATCTCTGTCGATACTTGCCGTTCACCCCATGCGATCTTGAGCTCTCCAATCGCCCTCGGTCCCGCCGCACGCGAGCGCATCTTGTTGCGCATGGCGACTCGCGCCCCGTTGTCGCTATCATCGCCCTGGACCCATCATGTCCATCACAAACGGCCAGTCCGCCTGGCAGCCTCCTCACTTACAACATACAAACAGCAATAGGAGTCTAGCACATCTTGATGATGTCCCTGCGCGCACTCAGACTCCCATTGATAATTCAAGTGTGCTGATGCCTGAGGCACAGCCTGATATCGAGGACGAGAATCGACGCGCCTTGTTCGCGGATTTGTATCGCCAGACCGAGGATAAGGTCGCGCTGCTGTTTTCCGAAGATGGTTCATACAATTATCCCGCGATCGCCGCTCTTAGACGTTCTCCGCCCCCTCCCGCCAACATTATCCCTCCCACAACCGACCACGAGCCCATTAAAGAACCACCCCTAAAGAAAGCGAAGCGCACCATCGATGAAGACGACTACGACGACGATGATGATGACGACGATGAACCATCACAGCCGGCGTCCAAAATCGCCCCTGCCAATACATTACTCTCACCATCCAAATCAGGGAGCTCGCCTGTTCATTCAGTGACATCACCAGGGAAACACGGTGATAAATCCAAAGATCAAGACGGCTCGCATCCCAAGGACAAAGATAGCGAGGATTCTATCAAGAAACTTGAGGAGGCTCGTACAGCGACTGAAGCTGCTGCTCGAAGGAGTTTCCATACTATCTTTCACACCCTGGAAAATGACCGCGCAGCTATGCTCGAACAACAGCAACTCGAAGATTCTGAGAAGCAGCTGCAAGCCGAAATGGACCACAACCACCATCCAAGTAACAACCATAATACCGCTCCCAACCAGGGAACCCTGAGTAGTGCAAATCTCGGTGCTTCCAGTCTGACCTTGAAACATCTCATCGCCCGCATTGACATGAAGCGAGACCAAGTCCGCGCCTCTGACGCTGAGCTTCGACTTTTGATGAACGAGGTCCGCAAAAACAGGAGCAAATGGGCTAGCGAGGAAAACGTGAATCAAGAGGAATTGTACGAAGCTTTGGAAAAAGTCTTGACAGAGCTCAAGGCGCATACCGAATATTCCACCCCCTTCTTGACAAGAGTCAACAAGAGGGACGCCCCCAACTATTACAACCGTAAGATACCAGGAACGTATCATATCGCTGTTAGACTAACCTTGTTCAGTCATTCAAAACCCCATGGATCTCGGTACTATGACGAAGAAGCTGAAGAGTCTAACTTACAAGTCCAAGACGGATTTTGTTGTAGATCTTAACTTGATATGGGACAATTGCCTCAGGTATAACGAGGACATGAATCACCCCCTGCGACGTATGGCAAACGGGATGAGGAAAGAGGCAGAGAAGCTCATTCCGCTCATCCCTGATCTTGCTATCCGTTCTCGAGCCGAAGTCGAAGCTGAAGAAAGGCGGAAGCAGAATGGAGGAGAAGATGACGGTGGCGAAGATTCTGATGATGAACCCATAATGTCTTCAAGGGGTCGTAAAGCTGGCGCAAAGGGCACAAGTAAAGCACGGAAGGCGCCCAACGACCAAAAGGAGGACACGCCAGCAATCGACCAGAAGCCAATATTACAAGTGAACGGACTCTTGGGGAAAGTTCGTGAAGGCTCTGAGGTGGATGGAAGCAATGGCTTTGGAACTCCACCTATTGGAGGATCGACTACACCATTGGGTCTCAACGGTCATTCTGGTATCGGAAGCAATGCTGACGCCATGGATATCGATGAGCCTAGTATCAATGGCTTGGCACTCAACTCAGCGTTTGGTGAAGCTGCTGAGCAGGCTTTTGAAGACGAAGAGTATAAGGTCTGGAAACAAACCACGAAGAAGGATCGAGCACTAGTGGCCAAGGAGCGCTTTCAACTCTTCAAGGACAACAAATTCAACACCGAAGCCCCTGCTCTTGTTCGAACAAAAGCTGGCATGCGCCGGTTTCTGAAACGGCAGCGAGAGGCAGAAGCAGAGGGTATCATCACCCACACTCTGACGAATTCAACAACTGTTGCCTCGGACGATCCAGCAGTGAAACCAACGGAGACTTTGGCAGAGGAGATTGAAGAAGAGGCTGCCAAGGTGATCCCTGATTATTACGACACTCTGAGCAACATTCCTGATATTCACCCAAAGCTCCAATGGGTCGAAGACAATGAAGGGCAGGTTATCAACCAGCACGAGGAGTTCCTTCGATTGGTACCATCCGGAACGTTTGTAGCACCACCCGGTCGTTTCGCAAAGAAGATGGATGAAAACATACATCAGATACAAGAGACTAGGAAACTTGCGACCAGAATCTCGGTCATCAAGCAAATGCAAGTTCAAACTCAGGTAAGAGGGCACGTGAATTCAAGGCAAATATGTACTGACGCAATTAGGTGTACACAAACCAATTCCCCAAGTCAAATTCCGATCCTTTCGTGGAACAGGATATTGAACCTCATTTCATTTCTGACGATGGTCCTGTAATGGCAGCTGAAGCGTGTCAAGACGCTCTCAAACGCTCTATTGCCAAAGTACTATATCACACTGGATTTGAAGAGCTTCAGCCTTCGGCCATGGATGCCTTCACAGGTATTGCGGCCGATTATTTCCAAAAGCTGGTTCGAACTTTCAACGTATACAACGAATCCGAAAAGAAGGCGGCACCCACAAATGCCGAAGGGTCTAGGTTCCAGCCCAGATTTACTCCCGAAGAAGTTATCCTCCACACCTTGGATGAGAACGGACATGACATCAGCTCACTGGAACTGTACGCCAAGGATGACATCGATCGACTTGGTGCCAAGCTGGGTGGTCTGCACGAACGAATGAAGCTGCATCTCACCGATCTATTGCGACCCGCTCTATCCCAAGACGCTGGAGTCGATGGAGTGGGAGCTTTCAAGGATGGCAGTGAGCAATTCGTGAGTGGTGACTTTGCTGAAGACCTTGGCGAAGACTTCTTTGGTTTCCGGGCTCTGGGTCTAGATAAGGAGATGGGACTTGATATGATTTCTGTGCCCTTGCATCTTCTGCAAACCCGAGTCCGCAATATCCACCAGATGCAGACACAGACGACTGGTGAAGCAGCCACTGAGCTTTTCGAGCCCCTGCAAGTTTCCGATCCAGTTACCAAGGAGAACATCCAGGAGCAAGTTGGCCTGGTCAAGAACTTCTTCCTGGCTAAGCTGCACGCTAATGGCGATCAGCCCCTTGTGGAGGACGAAGACCTGCCTACAAAACAAAAGAAGCCCCGTCCTCGCTTGGGGGCCAGCGGAAAGATTGTTACCGCTCAAAAGCGATCTCCTAAGGAGCAGTTGGCTCTTGCAAAGAAGAAAAAGAAGATGGACGCTGCTGCTGCTGAGGCCAGAGCAAACGCAAACGCGTCACCCGAAAAGGGGGTCAATGCTCCACCTGGCAAGAAGAAGTCCATGACCAGCACGACTGGCCCAGTACCCAATCCTGCAATCATTGCTCTGGCGCCTAGTATGGAACGACGAGATAGCATGCAAAGCCAGGGTAACGCTAGTCAAACTGACAAGGACGACACCATCGGCATGATGAGCCCAGAAAGCATCGCTCAGTAGGCCAAGCAATGTTTCTGGTAATGCCGTTACATACGAATTTGGTGGACAGCCATTACAGGGCCTCATTCCCATCACTTGAACAAGCCATACACTCATGTTGACACCGGTTTCGCTCAATGCTATGCCTGGAAACGACAACAAATCTCAGGAAACCTCAAGCCGTGTCTTGGGAACTTTCATATTCATATAAATCGTGTATTACTTTTTTTTTCTTACATCTATACTCGAAATCCTTCCGTCTTTTCTCATACCCCCGCAAACTCTTTGCAATGGCCGCGGCAGATGGTCTTTGGTTTTTGTTTTGTTTTGTTTTGTTTTGTTTTGTTTTGTTTTTTCCTGCCCCTCTACTTTGCATATGAGTAATCACTCAATAAACCATCTATTCACGGCGTTCCTGGCTCGTCCTTCTTCCTCATCTTGGAGCTCTGGGTTGCCACAGCGTTTGCATGCACAATACACGACATACCAAAACCGCTCCACTCGACTACACCAGTCTCCAACACGGTGTAACATGCGAAGGGACTTGTTCATGGTGGGTTGGTTTGGACAAATCAAAAGCAGACAGGCATGTGGTGGAATGGCTTTCACAATGATTAGCCGGCGTACGGAAGGGCTCTCACGGGATTGGTAATATGGAATGGAGGCACAATCAGTTGATAGGTTAAAAGCTTGTCTATCCGGCTATTGGGACGGATTCTGGAAGGCTGTTGTGCTTCGTATATACGGGTTGCCCTATCGTTATTGTTTTTCTTATTTTCTTTGGACGCGATGTGATGGATGAATGGGAAGACGAATTGTGATGGATGAGATGGTCGGTGTTGGATTGTTGGGGTAGGAATGGGACAAACGATTGGGAAGCAAATACGGAAACGGTCGATGTGCTCACTATCACAACATGTAGGCAAAGTAATAAGCTTTGAACAATAATCCACGGTTCAGAAAAGCCAATACAAATGCGTGATAAAAGTCTAGGCCGAGCGTGACTTTGGTTTCAGATTGTACAGTGCAGAGAGGCAAGGGGCGAAGTCATTTCAGACATTTAACCAGTAGTTGTATTTTAGCTGTCTGCTACCCCCTAACGGAGTACTGTTTCTGGCTTGTCTCCATACCATACCATATAGATATAATATCGAAAAAGTCAGAGAGAAGATAAAATGATCTTCTTGATATCACAATGTAACCCAACTCCCACACCGTCTTTTTCCAGCGGATCCATCTTGTTGAAGGATGCCCACATATCCCGATCTGAAATAAAATCCCTTTACCAAAAAACAAAACTAGGTATTTGCGCCGTGATGAAATGCATGCTTGTTGAACGTTTCGCCATTTGCCTCATCCATGTTAAATGCGTATCAATACTAAGGCATCACATCATGTTGAGGGATGGATAGCCTTTGTAAGAGCAGTAGAATCTAGTGCCAAGCATATTAGATGCTGGCGTCCAGACGCCAACCCTCAACGGGGAGAGGGAAGGCATTGCACCAAGAAGCAATCTCCTTTCGGAAGTCGTTGATCTTCTGGACCTCGCCGCTGGCAACGCGGGCCTTGAAGTCCTTGAGCTTGTTGGCCTCCTTGGGGAGAGCAGCCTGCTCCTCCTTGCAGATCTTGATGGCCTCGTCGATGTACTTGGCGACACGCTCGAACTCCTTCTCACCGAAACCACGAGAAGTCATGGCGGGAGTACCGATACGGATACCGCAAGGGGTAAGGGCGGACTTGTCACCAGGGATGGAGTTCTTGTTGCAAGCAATGTTGATCTGCTCAAGGACAGCCTCAACACGGGCGCCGTCAAGGTTGTGCTGGCGAAGGTCAATGAGGACCATGTGGCTGTCAGTGCCGTCAGAGACGAGCTTGTGGCCGAGGGCCTTGAAGGTGTTCTCCAGGGTCTTGGCGTTGGAAACAACCTTCTCCTGGTAAGACTTGAAGTCGGGGGTGGCAGCCTGCTTCAAAGCAACAGCCAAAGCAGTGATGGTGTGGTTGTGAGGACCACCCTGGTGACCAGGGAAAACGGAGAAGTTGATAGGGTTCTCAAGGTCGTAGAGGGTCTCCTTGCCGGTCTTGGCGTCGACGGAGCGGACACCCTTACGGAAGAAGATCATGGCACCACGGGGGCCACGGAGAGACTTGTGGGTGGTGGTGGTGACGATATCAGCGTACTTGAAGGGGGTAGGAATAACCTCAGCGGCGATAAGACCAGAGATGTGAGCCATATCAACAACGAGGTATGCACCGACGGAGTCGGCGATCTTGCGCATGCGCTCGTAGTCGATGAGACGGCAGTAGGCAGAGGTACCGGCAACCAAGACCTTAGGGCGGTAGAGGATAGCGTTCTTCTGGAGGGTGTCGTAGTCAATGATACCAGTGTCAAGGTCGACACGGTAGGGCATGGTCTCGAAGTAAGTAGAGACAGCAGAGATCCTGTTATTGGTGGTTAGCAAACTGTGTATTCGAGATTATAGCTGAACTTGGCTCTGCAAACTCACTTCCTGGCGGGCGTTTGGTAACCGTGGCTAAGATGGCCACCGTGGGGAAGGTCAAGACCCATGAGACGACCGTGAGGAGGCATGATAGCCTGGTAGACCTGGAGGTTGGCGGGAGATCCAGAAAGGCACTGAACGTTGACACCCCACTTCTCAGAGTCGAGGTGGAAGGCCTCAAGGGCACGACGCTGGCAGAGAAGCTCGATCTGGTCGATGTGCTGGTTACCACCATAGTAACGAGCACCGGGGTAACCCTCAGAGTACTTGTTGGACATGGGGGAACCAAGGGCATCGAAGACGGCACGGGAGGTGATGTTCTCGGAGGCGATGAGGACGATAGACTCGCGCTGGCGCTGGATCTCATCCTTCTGTGATGGGTGTAAGTGACTGCTAGTGGTTCAAGGCACTCAATTGAGCACAACGTACCATGATGGAGGCGACCTCAGGGTCGGAGTCAAGGAGAGACTTCTCGAGCATCTGAACAAGTGTGAGTCAATAGATCTGGCAATTCCCTCGAGGGTGACGGCAGGGGAGCTTACCTCCTTGTGCGACTCGGAGAGCGCATACTCGGCGTTTGTGGGAGACATTGTGAAGTTTGTTTGATGTATATGTGATAAGAAACAAGTGATATGTTCCTTTAGAGGTGGATGAATGAGTGAGGAAGAAGAGGGAAAGGGAAAAGCATGTGGGAGGGAACGGATAGAAGTAGGTAATAAGTAGTAGCTGGGCTGGGCTGACTGTCAAGGTCCCTCTTTCCTGGAGTGATCAACCAAAGAAAATTTTGCCTTTCTGTTGCTGTACGGGTTCCGAAGACGGCCACCAGAAGGTACAAGGGAGGAGCTAAGGCTAGCGGCTGCGGCAAAAAAGCTCACCTGTGCCGAGAACCAACCTTAGGCTGAGCCTCAAAGGGTGAATGAGGGTGAGTTGGCGGGGTCAAGGTTGCGATTTTTGGAGGTGCGGGGTACTTTCATTGGTGGTTTTGTATGAACGTGCTAAAAACTCTATGAGTCTAGGTACCCATTCTTCCGTGGATCCATGCTCGTCATTGGCCTTTGATCTCCACTTATTGATTGAGCTGGGACAGTGTGGTGCTACCCTGAAGGCCGATTCATGGAACATGATCTTCTTGTTCCTTTTTTGCCTCTTTTTCTTTTGCCATGACTCTTGAACCTTTCAATCCAAATGATCTAAATTCTAAAGTGTGGCCAATGTTTCGATTGTATGAATCGTAGATAATGCTAGATCAATTGACTGGAGATACCCGATGGTAGAGTAACAATGGTACACTGCACATCGAATGATTGCTTGCTTCCATGTAAGTGGTCCAGTGACTCAGCGCGCTCTGCACCATTCCCTGCACTATCCGAATCACCTCCATCAGCAGTCAATCCAGTACCCAAACATGATGTCTATGAACACCGAAATATTATGAAATACCGAAATACGACAAAACTCCGTTTACACTTTGACGAATTCTCCCGATGTTTTGGTGATGCTCGCGGCGAGACCTCCCGCAAAACCCGATCACGTTTCTCAAACTTCAGCACGAAGCGGCCTGCGTGAAGAGACAACGTCTAGATATAAAAGGAATAGAGTTTCAAGATCTATCCAGTTCCATGGTACCCAGATAATTACAGATCAACCACACGATATCTCATTCTCATCAGATTTGCCAAGAGAAATCTCTTCTTGTAGACTGTTAGATTTGCCCTCCGCCATCGAATTGGGCTACTAGCTCACGCAGCGATGTCGGTGTGGCTCAGTTGGTTAGAGCGTTGGTCTCATAATTCATCGGTTTCAGATTGAATTGACTTGGTTAAACATCAGGGTCATCCAAAGGTCGAGAGTGAGCCTCTCCACCAACATTTCCTTTTGCTGTGTCAGATTTGTTTATGGCGATCATGTTTTCTATGTGGTGATATTCTCCGAAGTCCCACTTGAGAAAACCATGGAGAACGTCGCCACAACAGACTCCAAGTTAGGTATCCACCATCAGGGTATCAGAAAAGTTGGCCGCTGGAAGCTTGAGGGACGAAATTAGTAGGCCAGTTTGTGCTACTTAGGCCACACTTCTTAGACTACTTATTTTTGTACCCTAAGACTTAGAAGGTCAACTTTTCTGTTACCCAGTAGTCCACATAGCTACAACATCAATTGTAATGGGGCTACTATTTAGCCTAAGACTTGAGACTATCTATAAATGCTCTTCCTTTTTGAATTGTTGCAATGCGATTTATCAGGTTAGCCTGGTTGAGGTTGTTGTTATCTCATAGATAGCTGATTGATATTGGTATAATCGAGTATTGTCCCTGCTAGGCAGATTTGCAGTCTATACTTCTTAGTTTCCAAATTCACCCCGCCTGCTACCAAGAAATCAGACTCAGTCTGGATAACTTAGTCGTGTCGGTGTGGCTCAGTTGGTTAGAGCGTTGGTCTCATATGTTTCGATGTGACTTGGTTAAACGCCAGGGTAATCCAAAGGTCGAGAGTTCGAGCCTCTCCACCGACATTTTCTTTTTGCAACTTTTAACACTATCTTATCTTTTTGCCTTCTCGAAGAGGCCCCAAGAGTTGTCATTGACTACTTGTTGATTCGTTATAAAGTTCAAGGCGGTCATACTGGAGTGATATGTATTGAGCTTGGAAGTGTAAATCTCCCTTTTTGAGAGTAATTAGTTGAGATATGTAACGGTAATTATATCAAATTTTGTTGTATAAAACCAAAACTCCATTCTTCATGACCTCATTCTAGCAAAACAGTTACCAACGAGGTGTCTACAGTAAAGAATTTCTCGAGTGTGATTTGGCCCATCACTTACTGCTCGGATTGTTGGCCTAGGCCGCTATCCAAATGCGCACCCACCCTGTCTTCCTTTGCGAAGATACTGTCACAAATAATAAATACTAAGCATGCTCGATCATATCCATGGATGGCTCCTGATCTCTTTAATAATAGGATATTTGTCTTATTGACTTGCTTCTATATATACTGCCAGTGTACAGAAAGCGCAGCTCTTCCTCTGGCCCTGAGGACCAAATCGTTTTTATATGAGCCCTGCAGAATTTGATAACCTGGTACAGGTACGTTATTGAAGGCCGTCGTTATGCTCAAGACAACATACTTTTATAAGTGAGCGCAACTCTGTGGTCTGGTTGGTAAACTTAACAGAGCTCAGAAAAGTTGCGCTATACTCATGACAAGTCAGATGTTGTATGTTCTGGAAAAAGGACACAACTCAACATATAATTCCACATGCGACGCTGAGTTCATTATTACAGTTTCGTGAAAACCAAGTGCCAGCAGATGCCTCTTAATATACAAAATCGATAGTACAACCTGGGATTGGCCACCAAATCATCAGCGCCAACCAGCGCTCATCAACAGGGCTACTTACCTGTTGTTAACAGAGAAACTCACAATTAGATCGAATACCAGAATCTCAGCCAGTAGATGGACCGGCGTTCATGTTTCACCACACCACGCTTGCTCCCCTCTTCAGCCTCAGGATAATCGCAATTGTTTGTTCCACGACTGTGGGCCACGGCACCAAGTCAACATGACTGTGGCCAGGCGGCTTTACTTGCAGGTGAGACAGACGGACAGTATGCGCTTCTCACTTGGTGTATGTGCAACAAGTGAGGCAAGGGAGTTTGGCTTTCTCTGGTGTGGTATTGTGCTGCGCTGTGTGTAGCTAGTGAGCCAGGGAGTTCTTTCATCCTGACTCGAGGGACGCTCAGGTAACAATTGATTGTGGCGCGTGATATTTATGTAGGACTTGGTATTCGTGGTCGGAATGTGACTGACACTTGATGGCACAGCAGTTGACAATATGAGACCCTGCTAATCCAGGACGGGATAATAACAGTCTTGTTCCAGGGACCGACTGCCACTGTCTCAAGCGGGTGGTGGCCCGACATAACAAGCGATTTGACTGCGCTAAACTGAAACCTTGTCGAATGTCATTCTAGAAGAACTGAGTTCTGGGAATTGGTATGACTAACGAAGTGTTGTTGCCCTTTAGTCAGGTTTCTCTTGGCTCTGCTGAACTTGTTTAACCAAGCGTGCCAACTAACAACACATAAGTTCAGGTATATATTACCATTTATTAGTGGAAATAACAATATGTTCGTTTCAGATATAGGTACCCAGGCTACGATGCGAATAGCAACAACGTAAGTGAGATGCTATTGGCAGCATGTTCGTAGCGGAGATCACATGACTCTGCATGCTTCCATTGAACCTCAAGGGTTAAAGAGAGATTAGGTGCTCTGATGCTAGTGCTAGTGCTCCCTGAAGTCCACTCTAATTAGGAGGTACGTACAGAGAGCGTCGAAGACCCAGGCAAGACCCTCATCTCGTAGTGGGTCGGTAGTTGGCGTGTGGAATTGATTCCCTATAATTCCATCGGGTTGTCAGGTTTACGTTAGCCGCAGCGGACCCCTTATCCTTGAAGAGTTCTGGAGCCGAGTCGGTAATAAACGGATCTAGGACCGCTTGGTTTTGATATCCACGTAATTCAGTCGAAGGAAGCTTCAGCATCGCCAAAGACTCACAGCACTCGATTCCTTCTATTCAGAGTAGATATTTATATAACAAGGACTATAAAATGGATGGAATTAGATGTCAGGGGACAAATAGGACCAGGGGTAGAGGCCTGATCCAAGAACAGCAGCTGGCGCGATCTGTAGGTGGAGAGAGATAATACTACTATGTAAAGATAGATCCTAGGCAACCCGGCTTAAATAAACGGTCTCGTCTGGTTTCCCTGCAGTTTACCCCCGTATCCTGCAGGGCTTGAGCAGACTAACGAGCAGCTATATTGTAAATATAGCCATAAGATAAATATTAGGGTCATGACCATGAACCAGACTATACTATAAATGCTGTCACTTTTTAATCGATCATGATTAGAAACGTTAGCTTCTGTTGAAGACATGATAATTGCTTTCTTTTTCTCTCTTTGGTTCTCCAAGAACGGTCAAAAACCTAATCCTTCAACTGCCAATTCAAAGCTCCACATCCACAACCAATCTTGGCCAATATTTCCGGTTAACGAGTGGCCTGCGGAGGTTCGGACCGGAGCGAATTGGCTCCCTCTCACTTCGTGCGAGATGTTTATTTATGCCATGGTAAGTGATCGATGCGATGCTCCATTACGAACTGGTGACGGGATATTCGCAGAACCCTGGGTGTCAAATCTGACACATGCCAAGACAGTGCAATTCGCGGTAGCCCTTCTGCTAGGGATTGGGCTCACAAAATACGAAGCGCAGGCAACAAAGCAGAAAAAGTAAAAATGAAAGAACAAAGCAAAGTGTAGCAGACTATATTCTGCATCGATGAGCGTTGTAATGGTGTCGTGCGCGCGGCACAGTGCAGGCAGGGTTGGTCTGGAGCTGTTCCAAGTCAACTTTACGGAGGTGTGAACGAGAGCTGGAGGCTGGAGGCTGTAGCCGCTGTACCTACTCTACCCTGCACGAGTACATGTAAGGTCTCTGTCTGTTTGTACATAGGTACTGTAGATCCCTCCATCGGCAAACGCTCTTCAATCTGGGCAGCCCAGGAGATCGTGATGGCATGCGAAAAGCGCTTGTGTCACTATCATGGTCACGGTAGCTGTACAACGTTCGGAGAACGGCAGTAAGAGCTGGGTCTGGCTCCAAGATGCTGGCTTGCTTAATTGAAAGAGTATGCATGTAGCCTTGTTTAGGAAGATGCAACTTAATACTGGATGCTGTGCTATATGTCGTACTCAAATAGCCCTCGAGTCTGGTATTTTTGACAGTTCTCGTTATGGTAATAAGCAGCCTGACGTTTTACCATACAGCTACTAATGTTATCGACAGAGATACATGCTCAACCATCATAACACCTTTGTGTGTCGTGTCACGCAGCTCCCAGTACGATATGATCCCATGCAGAATGGGATCTGGTTTGTTTGGATATGTATTGTATGTACGTGGTAGTAATCGGCATGTAGTTATACCGCGTATATAAAAGTGTATGTGGAATGAGGTTGTGTGAATACCACGATGTCGAAATTTACCTGGTACTGCGCGAGCTAGGGTACCCTTGAGATCGTATACTATATATCAGACAACCCATCAACCACCTATCCGTAGAATATTTCAAATTTTGATGACAACGATGATGTATCAAAGGGTTTGGTGGTTGACTAAAATCAGGCACCCAAGTTAAGCTTCAGGGTATTTCAGCACGGTTGGCTGGAGAGACAAAGCCTTTGTTGGCCACAGTCACCATTTAACTTTGTATTAACGGCTGTGCGATATACTTTTGTATTTTTGAATGAATAATATTGAGGGACATCTGCCAGACGACACAGATAAGGGGTTTTTGTTAGGTCAGCAGTTGAAGCTCTATGGGTTTCTAACTAAATCTATCAACTACAGTACCTGTCCACCATTCGACATGCAAGCCACTGACAAAAGCTTCAATTCTAACTGCCAGACTCATCGAATGCAGTGAGCTTCAGTTGAGATCTATAAGAAAGAGTTAGTTAATAGGTACGTACAGTTACGATTGTCTTACCTAACTATTCCTCCCAACCCCTGCCTTTTCAATTCCATTTCCCCCAGGCGAGAGGAGAAGAAAAAAAAACACTGCAGGCTGGCCGATGCACCATCCATCATCGTCATCTCTTGTTCCCATTTTTTCTCCACTGCACAGCTTCTGGCTTCTGCTTCTTCAACCCCCCGGCAAACTACAAGACACACGCCCCCTCGTCTTCTTTCCCCCGGGGAGCTGTCTCTCACCCCTTACTGTTAGGATGTCCCACCTTTTCTTGTCATCTCCCGTCCCCCATCTGCATCGTCACGCCCAGGCCAAACTCAGACAGCCCCAGCTTAGTTGGACTAGAGACAAGCCCTGACCTGGACCAGAGACAGGGACCCATCGTTGATCCTATCACTTGAATTGCTTTGCTACCCGTGGATACCCAGATACCCTGGGTTAATTTTGCCAATAAACGAGCCTCACCTAATTATCCTACTCTGGGCCAGTCTCTTTGCTACCTTCTGTTTTCTGCTGGTCACTAAAATCGTCCATCCCACAATACGGAACAGTGCTGTTTTGAACGGCAACTATCATTCCCGGTTGGCTGATACTGAAAGCTCACTCCTTCTACGAAATGACAAACATGAGAAGGAAAGACTTCTCTGACAACCATTCTCACTTACCTGTATCTTTGTAACCTCATCTCCCAACGTAAATAAACTTGAGTGTTCCAACAAGGCTTCTCGGGTGCATCCCCAGACCGCCCACCAAACACCAACAAGCGTGCTGCAGTGAATTGCATCACCTCACCTAATCCGACCACATAAAAGTAGCGGAGAAGCTGTACGCCTACCGATTGGCTTCTATAGTATCTGTCCAATTCCCTATTGTTTCGGGCTAGACAGCCCAGCACGCCCAGCCCAGCCAGGCAGAGGAGCATAACCCAACCTAACCCAAGCACCAAGCACCAAGCACTTTGACTGTTCCCCTTTTTTAGCAACGTCCGCCCTGCGCGTGCGGCTGAACCTACGACGGACCGCATTGGCCTTCTTTTCTTCCTTCGACCCTAGGAGATCCCGTGATGCTGGCTTTCGCTTGTTGTGACGAGCACAGCTGAGAATTTTTCTGTCTGGATAGGCTTGAATTGACGTCGACACCGTCTAGAAGCCCATGGCTTGTAGCTCTTATCGATCGGGAGCAATGTCTTGTAACGGTCTCCATCTTGACAAAGTTTGCCTACGAGACTGCAGCGGAGAGAACCTAATCTCGGATATAAGGTTATAAGTATGTATGTATATGTAGGCTATGACCAGTTGAACAATTAAAAGACTAGATTTCCCCGTATCAGCACATATGTCACATCACATTGTGTTGGCTGTTGGCTTGGTTGGGGACAGGTGCGTAGGTCATTGTAAAAGTTCCCGTCAGAAGGTGACAGGGCAATGGAATGGCGCTATAAATTCTCGGGAACCCCCTTTTCCCTTCCCGCTCGGTCGCTTGCTCGTTTGTTTCTCTGAGATGGTTTAGGGCGATGGTGGCCCCCCCTCCCCTAGGTCCCATCCCACTCATCAGGGCCAGGCCGTTTCGGAGCATGGCATGGACTCGGCTTGTTTTAGTTCTTAGTAGTTCTGATTGCTGACTGTACACACAAAAGAGAATGGCTCGAAACACGTGGATGGCTTCCGGAACAGCTTAGCGGCGACTCCGGCGAGCGGTGAAAAGATTTGCCATTCCTGTTTCCTGGTCGAGCCACCACCGCCTCGATCTGGAGAGCCACAGTGTCATCCAGCCTCCTCCTGGGTGCATCATCATCATCTCTCAACGGGGATTGTGCCGTAGTCACACAGCTCGTTTGTTCCTCGTCCCCATTATATCTCCTGGTCACTATTTCTCGTTTATCTGTATCTGATACATAGTAGGCTGGTACTTGATGATATCACGTATGTGAGTGCTTACTTATTGGACCTCCTTTATACACTACTCTTTTCTTCATGGTCTAGCGGTATTATAATCATCTGCTTCATGTCGCTTCTTGGTATCATCCGAAAGGAACACTGTCCTGAACCCATAACTAGTTGTTTCCATCAGGAACAGCAAATGTAGATCGAAGTCTCCATTGCGTCGTTATAACCCCATCAATCTGTTGCCGCTGTCTCACCTCCATCCCTAACCTCAATTGTCATACACTGACAGGGCAGCATCAACTATCACAGTACGTACCTCGGCGAGCATCTTGTCACACATTTCAGATGCGCCACATAGATGGGGGACGTGCGTGCGTTGCTGGATTTAATCGGTATCGCTTCGCTTGGCACCCCCGAGATGAACACCACACCACCGTAGCATCGGTGCGTGCGTGCGCGACTTTGCTCGCTTCTTGTCAGTTGCTGGCATGTTTGTTGACAGCCCTTCTGTCAGTCAGTCCCACGCATGCTGCAACATCTGACAACACCAAAATTCTAGCTCTGCCACAGGACAGGAGTATAACTCTCTACCGCCCTGACAGCTCGACTAAACGAAACGTTATTAATGGGTACAGTAACCTTTTTCATACTGAACCCTCTTTATGACGTTTGTTCACCCGCCCCCCTCTGCGATCAGCATCAAAATGTACCGAAAAGTGTTACAGCCAGCCGCGATCCAAGAGGCTGAATAATTATAACATTACCAGCGAAGAGGGATGCGTAAAATATATTGGACGAAAATAAGATGGGATGGTAACTGAAACTTTGAGTGAGGAAATAAGACAATTAATTCAGCATGGTAAAAAAAACAACAGAATCTTACACCTGATTTCGTCGATCACTACCGCTGTAGAGTTGCTCGTGAGTCTTGGGGCGGAGCGGAGGCTCTGAATGCCTCCTTCGGTTGAAGCTTGCGGAACGCGCCACTGATCCGTCGCAGATGCCAGACTGCAGTGGAAGACAGGGACCTTGATGCTCCATAATTATCTCATACAGACAGACCTTACCTTAATGGAACTGCAAGGTGCTCGTAGGCCGGCAAGGAAAGACCCAGGGCAGAGTAGGTACGTACTCGATGTGGGACGTGCCTTTACATAAACCGCCGCCACCAGTGAAGGTTGCCCTGGCCCTGTAGCGTAGCCCAGTGGAGGGTGTGATTTGCCGGGTACAGCATCGGAAACTGAGAGTCTGAGTCTGAGGTGTGAGTTAACCTTGAGCGCGCGTGCGTTGAGTTGGGTGTGGGGCGTGCGAGTGTTAGAGTCCAG